GGGGGGGGGGGGGGGGGGGGGGGGGGACCCCGCCCCCCGTGGGGCTGGCAGCTCAAGCTGCCCGGGGTTCAGTCATCAGTCTGCGGCAATGGCTGCGTAGCGGTCGGAAAGGAACACAGTGTGGGCTGCTGTGAGTACAGAGCCTCCTGCAGACAGGAGGAGGGGTTCCAATTCAGGGGCAGGCGCTTCATGGACCCCCGCCGGGCACTCAGAAGAAAGGTGGAGGCAGGGCCATCTGGAGCAGGGGAGGGGCCCAGGGGAGAGCCCCTGGACACAGGTGCGGAGCCCTTGCGGGGGGAGGGGCGGGGAGCCAGAGGCGTCCCCTGTGCACAGCGCGGTGACACGTCGGCTGCTGTGCTCACTTTTGCCACACTCCCACCGCCATGGAAGGGGGCAGGGGGAGCAAATCACCCTGAAATAAAAAGCTGGCATGGAAGTCGTGAGGAAGCATTAAATCAGCAAGGATCCTGTCAGCAACCAAAGAAAACCAGAGCAAATAAATTATTGCAAAACTTGTAAGCGGGATAAATTCCTTTGGAAAAGGCACACGCTCCGAGGTGGGCTTGAAACCAAGGCCAGGCGGATGAAATAAATGCTGACCGAAAACATACAGGGCGGGAGCGCGGGGCCGGGACCTGGGGATGGGGGGTGGCCACTGCACGTGTCAGGCACAGCAGACTCAGGACAAATGGCACAGAACAGGCACCGGGAGCTCTAGGCTGGTAAGAGGCAGAGCGGCCAAGAAGCTTCAAGTTGTGAAGAACGTGTCCTAGAAATGTATAAACCAAAGACGCTTACGGACAAAAGGAGGGACTGCCCTCCCTGCCCCCACCCTGATGGCAAAGTTCAGCACTTCACGCCCGGTTTTCATAACTCGAGACACAGATCCAACCTGGAGTATGTGACTGACATGGTTGTAAAGGTGGACTTAATACATTCTTTTCAAAATGTGTACCCTGCAAACGGACAGCCTTATTTTCAAGCACGCACAGAACACACACCCGTGAACGCACGTAAAATGGGGCGCGGCCCGCCCCTCCTGCCCTGGGGGTCTGCCCCTGGCTCCGGGCCTCGCCAGCTCTGTCTTGCAGGGCGCTCCCTAAGGCTCAGTTTTCCTAATCTGTCAAATAAGGGCTGGGACCACCTCCAAGGCAGCTCTGCCAGGGGATGCCCCCGATGAGCGCTGTGGGGCCACCACGTCCCTCGAGGCCACCTGCTCCAGCCCAGTTGTGCTTCTGCCCATGGGGACCCCAAACCTCCGCCCCCCCCAGGCGCCCCCCCCCCCCCCCCCCCCCCCGTCCCCAGGTCCCCGCCAGCTGCGTGCCCCACCTGGAGCCTCCGCTTCTCCCAGCTGGCCGCCCGCCTGCCAGCCCGGTGCTGCTCCTCCAGGCTCCGGAGCGCCTCCTCCTGCAGGGCGCGCGCTGCCTGGGCCCTGCGCCTCTCACTCTCCGCCTGGCGCCGGGCTGCGGGGCGAGCAGGGTGCTTGCTTGCCTGGCTCCCAAGGTCAGTGCGGCCGCCACATGGGGGTCGCCCCTGCCCATTTCACAGGCTGGCTAAGTGACTGGGAGCTAGACGGTGGGGGCTGGAGCCCCCCCCCCCCCCCACCGACCGCCCGTCTGACAATTCCCTGCCACTTGAGGGTCCCTGGGGGCGGGTCTGGGGTCCTGGCTCCCTCTGCCTGCTCCTTCTCTCCCAGGTTCTTTCCTTCCACAGACATTCCTCCTTCCAGACACCTCCTGGGCAGACCCACTAACGGAGGGAGGAGGGCACGTGATGCAGTGGGGCGACCAGCAGGCCAGGGGCGCTCTCGGTGGTGACAGGGGTCAGAGACCTGACGGAGAGATGGGCCTCATGGCTGTGGAATCGGGTTCTGGGAGGTCAGCGTGGTGGGAGGAGGGTCTGCGGACCCTGCAAGGTCTCTGGACCGCATCCCCTGGTGACGGGGAGCCACTGTGAGAGGGCCGGGCACACCCGGGGGACACGCTGGCCCACGCCCGAGCAGCTTCCAGGACTGAACCCTCCCGGCCGCCAGGGTGGGGCCCTTGGGGGGGAAGCCCGGGAGGTGGCGATGTGGCCCTGTCAGCGGTGTTCGGGGACGGGGCGAGGGAAGGGGGTCACCTTCCTCCGCCTCTGCCAGTGCCTCCTGCAGCCGTGCCGCGCGGCTCTGGGCTTGGGCACGCTCGCGCTCTGCCTCGCTCAGCCGGCCGCTCAGGCTCACCACCTGGAGGTGCCAGTCGTCCTGGGCGGAAGGACCCAGGTCAGGGGGCAGCCCGGTGGGTGAGTGGGGGCCGAGGTGTCCGGCTGGAGGTTTGGGGGGCTCGGGCACGCTGACCTGGACCCCGGTGGGCATCATAGTGGCGCCTGGCGCCAGGGCCTCTGCTGCTAATTGGGAGTAAGGGAGGAGGCCCTGCCTGAGCCGTTGGGGCGGCAGCTGAGTTTTGAGGGACTGTGGTGTTTGTTGCTATCTGTCACGCCCAACAAAGGACAGTCTGAGCGCTGAGGCGCCCGGTGACCCCAGGGCCCTCCAGGGCCTCAGCAGATCTGGGGTGGATGGACAGACGGACAGCAGAATGACGGGCAGCATCTCGTGTTTCTGGGGGCCCCCGGGGCATGTCCTCTCCGCCCCCCCTTACCCGTTCCCTCTGGGCAACCCGCAGTTTCTGCACAAAGTCCGTCAGGGCGTCTCGCACAGAGTCCACGTCCACATCTGGGCAGGAGTCCCCAGGTGCCGGTGAGGGCCATCGGAGTGGTGAGCCGGACCTGGTCGGGGGGCCGGCGCTCTGGATGCTATCTGAGCCTGCAGGACAGTGGCAGCGGAGGGGATGTGGTGGGGACGTGGTGGGGACTTGGTGACAGGCATGCAGGTGCCCTGCCCCCCCTTTCTCTGCTTGTCCCCACCCCCAGGGAGCTTGCGGGGGCACGGGGTCCAGGCCCCTCACTGTGTGGGTCGTGAGGCCCAGGGAGGGGAGGGGGTGTCCTGGGTGGGTGCCAGAGCCGGGACAGGAGCCTACCCGAAGCCACTGAGGACACTGACCTGTACTGGGGAAGCCGGGCCACTCGGGGGAGCCTGAGGGGCCTCGTCCCCGCAGCCCCAGGCCGCGGCACAGGGTGGACCACAGCCGGCCCAGCTGGGCCTCCGCGTGCCGCCTGGCACCTTCAGCCCGGGCCAGCTCCCCTTCCAGACTGTGGAGCCGGCGGCCGGCCTCGTCCAGGCGAGCCTGGAGGCCGTCGGCCACGCTACCGGCCTGCTGTAGCTTCCCCGTGACCGTGTGCAGCTCGGCCCGGAGGGTCCGCTCGGCCCCCCGGCTCTGGCAGAGGCCCTCCTCCAGCTGCTTCTTTCGGGCCTCAGCTCCAGCCTCCGCCTCTTCCAGCTCCCGCCGCAGCCTCAGGACCTGTGGGAGGGTCATGAGGGCTCACGTAGAAGCCCTTTGTCCCAGAGCCACCTGCCCTCCGCACCTCGCCCCCAGGCCTCTTGTCCTCACTCCCTGCTTGGCATGTCACGGCCAGGGGCACCTCGGACCTGCCTCCCAGCCCGTGTTTGGCCGTGGGGGCCCCTGAGCCCAGGTGGAGAGGGGCACCTCAGGACCACAGAGCACATCCTGGCAGGCGTCCCTTCAGACTCGTGAACCCCCCAGCCAGCTGTTGGCCCTAGGCTTGTCCCCTCCTGTGGCAGGGGACCGGCTGCCTCGAGCCAGCCCCATGCTCGTCTGTGGCTGCTCTTGGCCTGTGGTAGCAAAGGCTGGGTCAGCATCGTCCCGAGACCAGGGCCGGGGAGGCTCAGGGGGCCTGATGCAACACCACGGGCTTGCGCGGGGTGGCACGGGGGTAAACCAGCCTCCCCGGCACACAGCACCTATGGGCCGAGAGGAGAGACCTGGCCTCTGGGAGGCCGGTCCTGGGCCTCTCGTACCTGGGTCACTCTTTCTACCCTTCCACGCTCACCCCTCGGGTCTGCTGGGTCCCAGGCCCCTCTCTTCTCTGGTGGCCTGGCCTGGGTGCGGAGGGGCCCTACCTGACCTCCTGCCCCTCGGTAGCCACCCGTCCCGTCGTCTCCAATGAGGCCACCTTGTCTGCCTCTGCAGACCCTGGTCACAGCCTGGCCTCTGCCGCTTAGCCCCTGGGATGGGGCCTCCGCTCACACAAGGTGCCCCCTAAATACCTGTGAGTGAATGACGGAATAGACAGGGTCACGTCACCCCTAGGGCAGTGACAGGCTTGGGGGAGGCAGCCAGGCTCCCGGCTTGAGGCCACAGAGCCTCTGCCAGACCGTAAGCCCTGGCACAGGGGGCAGGGCCGGGCCCCACCCCATTTCCTCTCCGGGTGGCCACAGTGTTAACGACCCCATTCACGGGTAGAAGTGAGGAGCCGTGAGGTCACACAGGGGTCACATAGGTCGTGGGAGGAGAGTCCAGGTTCTCTGTGCACGGCGGGTGCTCGGTGCAGCCGCCGTGTGCGTGATTTTGGGTCCTGACCAGGGGGTCCCACGCGGGCCGGGCTGTGGGAACACACGTGCAGGTGTGGGTGTAGGTGTCACTCCGAATCCAGAGGCTCTTTGACGATTGGGCATTTGGGGGCTCTTGCCTGTCCCCTGGCTCAGAACTCTCACGTCCCCTGGGCGAGACTGTCCCTTTCTAAAACACGAGAACCTTAGGAGATGCGGGGGGTCCCCGCTTTGCCCGCATTCGTTCAGTCAGCACCCCTGTCCCTCGGCCCTGGTGGCACCCAGTCCCCACGTTCTTTCTCTGGTTCTCAGCCCGCAGCATGTTCCCCTGCGAGTGTGGGGTGGCACCGAGGGGGTCGCCGGGCCCCTCCTGGGCCCCTGCCTCTGCTCACACGTGCTGGGGAGGGAGCCTTCCTCCTGGGCAGCGCCGCCCCCCACTCTGGCCAAGCCCAGTTCTGGGCGATGGGGGATGTGGGTGGTGGGGGTGCCCTCCGAGACCATGCCCTTGTAGCTGATGGACTCCTGAAGCCGTTTTTGTCTGAGGCCAGGACACCCCGTGGGCAAGGAGCGGGCTGGGCCCCTCGCTGGCTGTCACCCTCGGGGACCCTGGTCCGACACATGTCTCTGTGTCTCGATGTCCTCATCTGAAAAGGAAGGCGCTAGACCTTCCTCACGGGGGGGTCGGTGGTGGGGCAGGGAGGAGGGAGGGCGGTGCAGCACACGCCTGGCCTGGAGGGAGCACTGGACCCCGGGTTTCTCCTCCCCGTGCACCTCACGGCCCACTCCCAGGCTGCAGAGGCCCACTCACGGCCCACTCACAACGGCTGCGGATGTTTGGACCGGCCTCCCACCTGGAGGGGTATCTAGGCCCCTCTTCTGAGCGATCCCGAAACCGAGTGAACTCGGTGTGAGTGGCCCTTGACTCTGGAGACCGAGGCAGATGGACGAAGCCGTGCAGGTGGTCTCCGAGCCCCTGCTCCGAGCCCCACCTCTGGGCCGGGAGGTGCCCAGCCGGCAGCCGGTGCGGCCACCGACCCCGCGAGCAAGGCCGCCTGCCGGTGAGCCCAGCCCTGCCATCAGGCCCCCCGCCGTGGAGTCTTCTTGGCGCGTGCACCGTCGGGCAGAGCCAAGGCGCCCCCCTGTGCCCTCGCCGCATTCCTGATCTCAGGGGCCACGGGCGTCCAAGTGGTCGTTTTCAGCCATTAATCTTGAGGCTTGTCATCCGTACCCCATGGGGCAGACCCAGCCGGGAGCCCCACGAGTCTGAGCAGGGCCCTCCAGCTGAGGCTGCAAGTGTGGGGACAGAATGTTCCAAAGGCACAGACAGCGAGGCCATGTCTTGGAGCTCGGGCTCCGCGGTCCAGCGGGTGCCCTGGAGGCACCTGGGGGAGCCGGACAGAGGGGGGAGGGGACATCTCTGTGGGGGCGGGGCTCCAGGACGGCGGCCCTCACCTGTGTGCCCAGCTCCTGGAGCTCCTGGCGGGCGTCGGCGCGAGCCTGCTGCGCCTCCCGTAGGCTGGCCCGCAGCTCACAGGCCTCCTTCTGGGCCGCTGCTCGCGCCTCCTCCAGGACCAGCACCTTCTGTTCCCTTTCTTCCTTGGACCTCTGAAAACTGAGCAGAGTGTCACAGGCTGGGGCTCCAGCAGGTCCCGCAGAGACCTTCCCGCCGCCCGCCTCACTCCGGCCGGATGCCTCCCCCGTGTCTCGGCTCTGCGGTGTCCCAGAGCCCAGCCTCCTCGGGGCTGCCTGGGGCCGGTCCCCTCGGGCATACCAGGTCCCGGTGCCCAGCCGGATCTGCCCCTCTCCACGTCTCTAGACCTTCCCTCCACCCTACTCCGTGCTCCGGCCACACTCCCAGAGACCCGGTGTCCAGCGCCAGGCCCGCACCTCTAATGCCCCTCTGCGAGGCCTGCGGTCCCGGCCTCCCGGTCCCTCCCACGGGGGGCCTCCCAGAGTCCTGGAACAGTCCTCTCTTCCTCCCTCCACTCCCCAGCCCTTGGCCGTCGCTTGCCCACCACTTGGGGCTTGTGTGGCCCGCTGGACGGGAATGCTCCGAGGGCAGGGACAGGCCCCCGCTCGTGTGCGGGCACCGTAGAGCCTTCTGATGGACAGCTGGCACCGTGAGCTTGGTGAGCCCACCCACCATCCTCTGGCCCGCCTCAGTAGAACACCCCGCGTCCCGCACACTCTGCCCCTCCGGTGGATTTCGGGGCCGGGAAGGCCCCCTGACGGGTGCTGCACGGGCTCATACCTGGCCTTGTCCTGCTCGGCCCTGCGGAGAGCGGCCCGCAGCTCGGTGTTGGAGCTCTGCAGCACAGCCTTCTCGCGGGCCTCCTCGCCCAGCGCCCGGCGGGCCTCCTGGGCCTCCCTGCGAAGCCCCTCGCGGCTCTCCTCGCTGCCCTGCAGCTCCCCGCGCAGCACGGCCAGTGCCTCCCGGGCCTCGTCCAGCTGTGCCCGCAGCCCCTCCGCCTGGGGAAGGGGCACGAGGCTGTCGGGGCCGCTGGGGGCCGGGGCGCCACGGGCGGGGGGGGGGGGGGGGCAGGTAGGAGCTGCCGATCGGCCTCTGGCTCTGGTCCGGCAGCGCCCAGGTGCCCCCAGCCCTGTGTGCCCAGGTGCTTGAGAGAAAAGCGGACAACCTGGCTCTGCCCACCTGGGGGTGCAGGGTGCCTCACGAGGGCTGGTCCCAGAACCGGGGAGGTGACGGTCTGGCCCTGCTGGCCCTGGGCCCTTGCTCCCTCCCTGGCCCCCGGGGACGCTGCTTGCCAGACAGCAGGGACAGCGTGGCACCTGGCTGTGCCCACACATCCGTACTGCCCCCTCCCGGGTCCAGATGCCTCCGCTTGACGGCCCCCCGCCCCCGCTGCTGCCCGCTGGCCTTCAGTGATGCCGTGGCACTGGGGCTGCTGCCCGCCCTGGGGCGGGTAGCCGTGCAGGTGGCCCTGGCTCGAGACCCCTGCTCCTCGGCCCTCATCTCCCTGTCACGTGGGAGGCAGGGGAGGGTGGGTCTCCGGGCGATGGTGCCCTCAGAATTCTCTGGCAGCACGAAGGCCGGCTCGGGCCAGGCTGTCCAGTTTGCTTGGGCGGCAGGTTCTCACTGTCACCAGGGCCCTGGACAGAGTGCTCCGCAGAAGCAGGGACACCCTAAACCCAACGGGTGGGGGGCAGCAGAGGCCCCCGGCTGGGCAGGCTCTGGAGCCAGTGGGGGCCACCCTGGTCTCAGGGCTCAGCAGCCCGGACTCTGGCCGCTTTGAAAGCTCTGAAAAGCTGACCCGAGGACGGGGAGAGGCTGTAGGTGTGAGTCCTGTGCCCTGCCCCTACCAGACGTGTTCCAGGCCCAGAATGGGACACCCGTCACGCCGTCCTCCCTACAGCGGGACCCCCACGCCCTCTGGGGGCTTCTAGGCAGGGCTTGCGGGTTCTGTGGTTGTGTGAAGCTCAGGGCCTGAGCGAGGGCCAGAGCTGGGTCAGGGTGGGGTCGGGGGTCCTCCTCACTCCTCGCCCCAGCACCACCTCCCCCTCGACCCTTGGAGGGAGGGTCTGGAGGCGAGTGCAGACCCAGGGCAGGGGCGGCCCACCTCCCAGCGCCCGCACTTTGGTGAGGGAGATCTCCAGGCTCGGCCGGGACCTCTGGTCTCCCGCCTCCCAGGCCTGCGCTGCAGCCCTGACCGGGGCACTCTAGAGAGGGCTCCGTTCAGGCTCGGGTGTCCCGAGGAGGAGGTGGAGAGGAGGTGGAGGGGGCCGGCGGCGTGCCGACAGAGGGGAAGCCGCAAAAACTCTGAGCCATGTCAAGGCGCTGGTTTGCCAAGAGCAAACCCCACTTTGCTGGCCGTTTCAGCGGGACATTGTCCAGGCCCCTGGCCAGCCTGGCTCCCGTGTCCGCCCGCTGTTATTGTTGTTCTGTTTTTGGGAAGGGCCTGAGCCGCCCCCCCCCCCCCCCGGGCCCCACTCCCCTTCCACCCCCCACATATGGGAGCCACAACTGTGCAGGGCAGTTTCCGCCGAGCTCAGCAAAAATCCACCGAGAAGGTCAAGGACCAGCAAAGGGCCCGATCCATCATAAAAGGAACTGGTTTTGTTTCCCAGGGCAGAGGAGATGAAAACGAGCAGAACAAAGCTGGAGAGGGCCCCCCTCACCCCTGCACCCCCACCCGCTTCCCTCTGCCTCATGAGAACAGCCATCCTCTTTACAGGAGTTTTACAGCCAAATCACTTAATGTGATTATAATAATTATTTCTTTACTAGAAATTGTATAAACAGCGTCTTTTGAAATCTCCTGCAGGGAGGTGGTTCCAGGGCTCTGCGCCGCCTGAGGGAAGGCCGGGGAGGGGCCGGCAAGGGGCTCTCGCCCGTGCGTGCGAGCACACACATGTGTGGTCAGCGTGCGTGTCTGCACGCGACGTGTGTGAGTGTGGCGTGCGCACCTGTACACGCGCATGCAGGAACACGCGTGCCCATGTGCCCACACACATGCATGACGTATGTGCGTGTAAGTGCGTGTAGGGCTGTGTGCACTACTTGTCGCACATTTGTGCGTGCTTTGTGGTGTCCGCGTGTTTCCCTGTGAGTGTTGTGTCCGCAGGTGAGTGTGTGTGGGTGCATGCACAGGTACGCTGTCACTTGTGGGCAGGGGTGTGAACGGTGCAGTGGGTTCACGTGTGTGTGCAGGCACACACGTGTGGACTCCAGGCAGCGCCGAGAGAAGCCTGGACGTTCCTTCAGTTTAAAGGCTGTGAAAACGTTATGGTTTCCATGGCGACCGGGCCAGCCTGGCGCCTGGGAGGCTCTTCAGTGCTGCCATTCCGGGCTTGCTCCTCCTGCCCCCGCTTCAGCCTCCTGCTCCCCCACTGCTTGCTGGGGCCCCTCTCCTTTCTGGGGGTTCCCTCCCCTTTCTGGGGTTCCCTCTCCTTTTGGGGGCCCCTCTCCTTGCCGGGGGTTTCCTCT